CCGCAGGGACAGGCCTGCTAATACATTAGGTAATTGCCTCAGTTCTCCACTTCATCTGCAGCATGTAGACCAGCCCAGGTGCAGAGTTGGAGGATATGATTCAGCCCAGGTCTCCAAGGTGTCCAGAGCACTCTGTGGGGACATGAGGTGCTGGAAAAGGAGAGGGAACTGGGACAGTGGGACGTGGGGGGAATCCATCTCTCAGGCATCAGGGAACAACAGGACAGTCTGTCCCTATGACCAGAGTGAAGGGAAAGAAGGGAGAGTCTCACACTGAGAACCAAGAGGCTAGAATCTGCATTCTGTCATTGACAGCTGAGCCACCTTGGGCCCTCACCTGTCTCTATCTGGGCCTCAGGTCTCCATCAGGAAAATAAAGGCGATTATAGATAAGTGTTTCTCAACTCTGGGTGGTTGCACATTAGAATTACCAAGGGAAATTTTAAATAAAAATCAAAATTAAAAACAATTAGTAAAGCCCCAAGCTCAGCTGCCAGAGCCAACAGGATTTAAGAGTCCCGGACTAATTGGTCTATGAAATCTCCCTTGGGAATGGCATTCAAGGTTCATGAAAAAAGGTGGCAAGTCAATGACCTTGAGCTCCAGGGTCACCTCTTTCCATGTTTACATTTTTGCTTTCAATAATTTGTGTTCTTGTCGTAGTACCAGTGAGGTCCTCCTTGTGAGTGAGTATTGGAGAAATCTACCATATGGCAGAAACTCAGCTTCTAGTCTATTTTTTGGTATTAGTTCTGTGGCCATGAGCAAGTTACTTTGGGATCCCAGGACCTCAACTTCCTCACCACTAGATGACAGGAAAGCAGCTTGACTGTCTGCCGGCAAGCAGGATGTTGGATCAGAGTTTGTTTTACGAAACCATCTGGTAGACACACAGCTTTCCCATCCAGGGGCTGAGATTTCAGCTGGAGAGTGAAGAATGCTTTTCCACTTCCCTTGATAAGAAGGCAAAGACTCAGGTAACTTGCCCAAGGCCATCAAGCCAAGAAGAAATGGAGCCAGAGAGACTGTAGCTTAAGTCCCAGCCATGTCACTTCCAAGCTAACTTTGACTACTGTGTCATTTTTCTGGGCCTCCATTTCCTTACCTGTAAAATGGGCATGACTATCATCCCCTTCCATAGAGTGGTCATGAGGGGGAAAAAGACAAAGCAGAAGTCCTTGTGAAGCTTGGCTTGAAGCAGACAGTTTTATTTCCTTCCTCCCTCTGCGATATCTCCATTCTCCATTTATCCCTTCCTCTCCCCATGCTTGCTCTGAAACTCTTCAAGGATAGCGACCTTGAGAGGCAACTCACTGTGCCAGACCTTAGGCAAATTGTTTTATCTCTCTGCACGCAATTTCCCCAGCTGCAAAATGGGGATCATAGTGGTATTTGCAACTGGGAGGACTGAATGGCTTCAGGTACAGAACAATAGCTGTTACTGTTCTCTACTTCCCACTGGGCCTTGGCACAGAGGCGTCTCCCTCCACCCCCAGTTGTTGTTGAGTGAGCTGAGTGAGGCCTTCTAGCACAGGAATGGTAAGCCAGCAATAAGCACATCCTCCAGGTCTTGGCCGTGCTCTCAGTCATGACAGCTCTGCTGAGCACACACAGCCCCCAGGGTTCCCAGGCAGAGAGCAGCAACCCTATATCAGGGGATTGCTTACTATCTTGAGGTGGGGAAAAAAAAAAGCTATAAATATGGAGGACTTGTCTGTGATAAGTCATGGTTAGAAACCCCAGCTATATAACTTTTTAATTCTCCACTCTAGCTTGTAAGCTCATGCAGTAAAAACAGTCACTAGTAATTTATTTTTTTCCACTCTTTTAATTTCTTAATTTTTTTTTCTTTAACCAACCGAAAAATCCTCCTAAACTCACCTTAAGCTTTTCCTTTTTTCCCGGTTAGCAGTTATAAAATGTGGATGCGAATTACAATTTAAAAGCCATCCCCTCTCCTGCCTTGCTAGAATGAAAATGTATACTTAAGGGTAATTTCTTAACTAGGTGTTGGTGAAATGGGAGTGAGTCCTGGAGCGAGCTTGCCCCACCTGCCTCCAGGTGACAGCGAGGCTGGCAAGGAGGGGAGGCGGTTCATCAGTCCAGGTGCTGGATTTCAGTCTCTTTTCTTTCACCTTGAAGCTGAGTGATCTCAGGCAAGTGATTTCCCTTTTGGGACTCAATTTCCAGGGGGAGGATTGCGCTCCCTCCTTGGATTGCTCAGTGAATCCAAAGAGATAATGCACAAAAAGTTGTTTTCAATAAAAAACATTATGAACTCGTTAGGGATTGTTGTTCCTACTGATAATGACAGCACCAGCAATTATCATGGTGATGGTGATATTGGTAATGCTATTGATGGTGATGATGACAATGATGGTGGTGGTGATAGTAATAATGTTGATACTGTTGATGGTGATGGTGATGATGGTGGTGGTGGTCATGGTGATGAAGACAATGATGGTGGTGGTGATAGTGATAATGTTGATGCTGTTGATGGTGATGGTGATGATGGTGGTGGTGGTCATGGTGATGAAGACAATGATGGTGGTGGTGATAGTGATAATGTTGATGCTCTTGATGGTGATGGTGATGATGATGGTAATGACAATAATGATGGGGGTGGTAGTAGTGAGGATGATGGTGGTGGTGATGATGGTGATGATGATGTTACCATGCGCAGAACAGAGCCCAATGGTGTATGTGATAAAATGATTTTCTTCAGAGTCTTCTATGACATGAAATGGGTGTGGTATAAAGAATTTTTCACTTAAAATCAACTTCAGATTTCAGAATGAGATCTACCCTTTAAAGGTCTCAGTCATTCATTGAGTGAGCATTGAGTGCCTACTATGTACCTGATCCTTAGGGACTTAGAGGTATAGGACGGGATGGGATCACCTAAGAGTATGTAGATAAAGGTGAGCAGTGAGCTGAGCCCTGGGCCCGGGTGTTCCAACATTCAGGAGTCAGGAAACAAACAAAATAGATGTGGTCCCTGTTTTCATGGGGCTTACAGTCTAGAAGATGGTAGGTGAGGTGGTGGAGGCAGATGGTAAGCATATAAACAAATTACAATTTTAGATGTTCATAAAGACTCTGGAGAGGAATATAGAATATAAAGCAATAGAAAGAAGTATCAGTAAGACATCTTTAGCTGTGTGGTCAGACAGGCCTGTCTGAAGAGAGTGACATTTGAACTGAAACCTAAATGATGGAGGAATGCTACTAGAAGATCTAGGAGCAGATTTCCCGGTAAAAGGGGCCCAATGTAAAAGCTCTGAGAGGAGAATGTCCAAGAGATGAAAAGAAGCCCTTGTGAGTCTTGAGCAGAGAAGAAGGAAGAGGGAGAGCGTGGCATGGGTTGACATATGAGAGGGAGGTACAGGCAAATTATGGCGAGCATTGTAGAATGGGTTGAATTTGGAGTACCATGAGTTAATAAACTCTAAGAATGTCTGGCTTCAGATGTGGGATAAGAGTGAATAAGAATGGAGCAGGTGGACAAGTTAGGATGCACATGCAATATTTGGGAAAAGAGATGCTAGTGGACTGGAGTTCAGCGGTGGAGGTGGTGAGAGTAGATCAATTTGGAGTATGCTGGAGGTGTCCAGTGAAACTTGACATTGGGTTGGATGGGAATGCAATAAAAAGATTCAAAAATAACTCCCAGGATGCAGGCCTGAGCTACTGGGCTGATGCTTGTAGTATATAGAGAATGAGGGTAGTTAGTGTCATACACAGAGAAGGGAGAAAGTGGACTTGGGGAGGTGCAAGGTGTGTGTGTGTGTGTGGGTAGGGTGAGTAAGTCTCTTTTCTTTCACCTTGAAGCTGAGTGATCTCAGGCAAGTGATTTCTCTTTTGGGACTCAATTTCCAGGGGAAGGATTGCTCTCCCTCCCTGGATTGCTCAGTGAATCCAAAGAGATAATGCACAAAAAGTTGTTTTCAATAAAAAAACGCTATGAACTTGTCAGGGATTATTGTTCCTATTGATAATGACAGCACCAGCAATTATCATGGTGATGGTGATATTGGCAGTGCTGTTAATGGTGATGATAATGATGGTGGTGGTGGTCATGGTGATGAAGACAATGATGGTGGTGGTGATAGTGATAATGTTGATGCTGTTGATGGTGATGATGGTGGTGGTGGTCATGGTGATGAAGACAATGATGGTGGTGGTGATAGTGATAATGGCTTTTTTTTTTCCTCCAGATAAAATATTATAGGTTTATTTAAAACTTAATTCTCACCTTGAGTATGCAAAAAATACAAACTCCACAAAATGTTCACTTTTTTACTTTGTAGTTTACAAATATACAAAATAGAAGTTTGCTTAAATTTATATTACATATTTATTAAGGTAAGGAACTATATAGAAAAAAAAAACATTTGTTCTGCTTAAGGCATACTTGGGATAAACCATTGTACAGATTATTGCACGTTTGAAACCACAGCGCATAACAGACTGTCTGCATAAAATCGTTAAAGAAGTAAACCAGGTGTATTTACCTGACTTAGGCCATAAATGTAGATCGGAAGACAAAAATAGATTTTCCTTGTCAAAGTATGCAGCAGTTTGAGAACTTTGGCTTCCTTGTTTGGTACCTTTAGAACCAAGACTCAGCAAGCACCATCGTTTAGGTTATTAAAACACATTTCTGTACCTGAATTTTCTTTCTTTTCTTCTAATATAATAATGGCTTTTAGAAGGCAAAGAGAATATAAGATGATCCTTACACTTATATTGCATCGAAACACAATTCAAGGGAATTCTGGTCTTCCCTCCCCCCCAACTCACCGATCTATTTTATACCCTGATATTCACAACTTCCAATCACCCCCTTGGCGTTTTGTAAGTCCAGGAATATTCAAGTTGGAATTCGAATTGGAATGATAGAAGACCCAGTCACAGACCCCATCCGTTTTTGTTCTCTGATTTGTCTTTCGGTTTCTTCATGTCTCCTGATTATCCATTCACAAGCTGACTCGCTGGGAACTTGACCATGACTGCAGTGCTTTCCGGCTGGGTTCCTCCCCTCTCCGGGAAGACAGTGTGAAAAGTTAAAAATACTGAATTCTCTTCTGGCAGTGTGGGTCCTATCCACTGTGTGGGATTTAAAAGTGCCTCTGCATGTGTAAGGCGAGGTGGTCTGACCTGGAGAACGCCCGGTCGCACTTCTGGCACTGGAAGGGGCGGTGCCCAGTGTGTTTGCGGTAGTGCCTGGTCAGTTCATCCGAGTGGGCAAACTTCCACCCACAGCCGTCCCAGTCACAGTGGTAAGGCTTCTCACCTGTGTGGGTTTGCAGGTGTGCCTTGAGATGAGAACTCTTGGTGTAGGTTTTGCCGCAGCTGGCATAATCACAAGTGTGAGTGGCCGTCCTTTTCCAGGGCCACGACCTTCTCCCCCTCTTTGGCTTGGGCTCCTCTGGCATGCAGGAACCAGGTGCCATGAGCTCTTGGTAATGGAACATTGGCACCTGTGGCTGCATCTGGTCGGGCAGGAAAGATGGGTAGTTGGGCCCGGGGTGGGGATGGAAGCCCCGGGGAAGTGGCAGGGCAGGATGACAGTCCCTGCTGCTCAGCAGTTCCTTGGCACCCAGGGTCGGGGTAGTCCTGCTGGGGAGCTGCCGCCCCAGGGGAAAGTCATGTGTCGGCGGCCGGTGGCCATTGCTGAGAGGGGGTCCAGTGCCCAAGTGGGCCTCTAGGGGCCAGCCGATGGTGCACGAGGAGACTGCCTCCTGCTTGATCTTGGTGCACATACGCGGCGGCCCGCGGCTGTAGGGCGCCACCACCGCCGGGTGGCTGCCATCCGGGCTGCCTTTGCTAACACTGATGACCAACGGGCTGCCGTACTCGCTGCCAGGGGCACTCAGGGACGACTTCAACACAAACTTGCCCATAAGCCCGCCACCTGGCGGCTGCGGCTGCTGCAGAGCAATGTACACTGGGTCCAATTCGGGCCGTAGGAGCTCAGCCACGGAACCGCCCGACGGGCTCACGTCGTTGATGTCCGCCAGGTTGAAGGGAGCTGTGGGAGGGGGCGCCGATTCCCGGCCATACTGGAGGCCGCTGCCAGCGGTGCCGGGTGCCACGCCCGGGTCGCCCCCGGCCCGGATCGGATAACTGAAGCTGCAGGTGGAGGGCGCACCGGCTGGACCGCTGCTCAACGGGGAGGGCGCGGACGAGGCTGATGCCGAGGAGGACACGGTGGCGGCCACGGGTTCCTGATGGGTCAGCGAGTTGGAAAGGATAAAGTACAGGTGCAGGAGTTCGTTGAGCTCCTCCGTCTCCCTCCGAGGCAGGAGAGCCGGGTTGCTGCCACTGCAAGCCGCGCCAGCGCCGCCACTCTCCAGATCCGTGGCCACGGTCGCCGCCGGCCAGGTGGTAGGCGCGGCCGGGAAGCACCGGGGGAAGTCGCTTCACGTGCGAGAGCTCTTCCCGCCAGCGGTTATTCGGGGCACCTGCTGGACGCAGTGTCTTCTCCCTTCCCGCCGGGCCGGACGCGACCGTGGAGAAGCACCGGAGCAGCGCGTCGCCGACGGCCAGGTCAGACTCGCCAGGTGGCTGCCTCCTTAATGTGGGGGCCCAGAAGGTCCTCGGGAGTCCGAAGCAGTAGGGGTACCCGAACCCCAAGGTCAACGAAGAGAAGGAAAAAACTTAGAAACGAAGCCGAAACCAAAAACGCCCAAATTTTGCCCAAGGTTCTTCTTTGGATTAAATATAAATGGATGATGCCGTTTAAAAAAGTTCCTTTGTATACAAAAGTTCTCAGAAAAGTTGTAAACTCGTAAAAACACACAAACCGTAAGGCGAGCGAGGAGGTCCGACGGCCGGGCTGCGCGCTCTTCAACTCGGCAGTGTCCCCCGCCGCTGTCGTGGGCGCTGGGGCTGTGGCCGGGGCGGCGGGGGGCGGGCGGGCGGCGCCACCAGGTGAGCCTGGCCGGGCTGGCGCTGATCTGCGTGCTGGGCGGCGGCGCGGGGTGCGGAGTCCGGGGGGCTGCGCCGGGCGCGCGCGGCCATGGGCGCTGGCCACGGGCGGGTGGGTGGGTGGGGGGCCGGAGGGGCGGGGAGGGGCACTTGGCGGCTCCTGGTGCCGCCACCGCCCGCCACGGCCCCTGCTCCCCGCGCACCCGCAGCCGCCCTAGCTCTCTCGGGCTGGGGAGCTCGATAGTGATAATGTTGATGCTGGTGATGGTGATGGTGATGGTAACGACAATAATGATGGGGGTGGTAGTGGTGAGGATGGACTCAACATTTTGGACCATGTTGGGATTGAAATGACTGAATGGCTCTCTATTAGACAGATAAACCAGCAGTAGGCAGGCAGAGCCAGGCTCTTGGGGAGAGGTCAGGACAGGAAAAAGGCATCTCGGAGTCATCAGTGCTGGCTGTAGAGGCATAGAACAGAACTGGGATCACCTAAGAGTATGCAGGTAAAGATGAGCAGTGAGCTGAGCCCTGGGCCCGGGGATGCCAGCATTCAGGAGTCAGGAAACAAAGGAGCTGGCGAAGGAGGGTAAGAGAGATCAGCCAGGGAGGTAGGAGGGAAACGAGAGAGGGCTAACATAGAAACCTAGGGGAGAGGGGCCCTGGGGAGAGTGTGGGCAGCTCTGAACAACAATGAGCTGCCAACCAAGGGTGGCCCTCCCCCACCCCCAGTTTGGACATGGGAGACTGTGTAGTGTAGAGGGTTTGGAACCACAGGTTCCAGATGCGCTTGAACCAGGTCCTGAAGCTGCCTCTTCTTAGCTTTCTGACCTTGGGCAAGCACTGGCCTTGATCCTTGGTGTCTTCCCTGCATGGCACTGTTGTGTGGTTTAAATGCGATTAAGGTCCATCAAGTGCTTAGTGCTAGATGTGGCATATAGTTGACACTCAGTAACCAGACGCTAGCTGTATTCTTCCTGAAACTGCCGGGGAGGGTAGAATTGCTGGCGGTCAGGGTGCTGCTGCAAGGGGGCCCGGATGATAGAGGGAAGGTTTGGGGCAATCCGGCCTGCATTCAGGGATGGAAAGGAACTTGTCTTTAAGGCTCAGACAGGACTGTAAGGAGTAACAGGTGGAAGCAGAATGGGTAGAAGGTCCTGGCCAACTGGAGCACACACCCCACCTAGAGGCATCTTCCTTACATTTATAGAGTTACAGGACCCCCTGGGCCAAAATGAACCATTCAGCAGACCTGGTGCTGCCCACAGGGGTTGGAGATGCTGATGAGGTTCCAGTTGGGCCAGAGAATTTCAAACAGGGTATCTGGATTGACAGGCCAAGATTTGCATTTCAGAAAGGCTTTTCTAGCAGAAATGCAGAGAGGCTGGGAGCGGGGTGTAGGGCTAGTCCCCACGGGGAGAAGAGCCAGGAAACTCTTCACACAGGTGAGAGGGGCCTGGGATGAGGAAATGGGCTCATCATAGCATAATTAGCTCCATAATCAGTATGCAGGCTTATTTCAAAATGTAAAGATGATTATCCGATTAAAGGTTTGTTGTGGTGGTGGTGTTTTTTTTTTTTCCTTTTAATGGAAATGACTTGCCAACGTAGGTGTTTGAGTGGAGAGAGAGGTAAGGTATTGATTTTTAACCAATTCATTTAGCAATTAATTCATTTATTGATTCAAAAAATCAACCACTCTGGACAGTAAAGGTTGTAAATGAAATCAGCGTCTGGTTAGAATGGAAGCTAAGTACAGGCACACTGGAGGCTGCCTCATGAGGCTGGAGAGAGGGTTTGTGGGAGGGGTCTGGCCTGGACCTCAAAGCCTGCTGGGACCGCAGAGTAAGTGGGTTCAGATCCGAAACTCTCCCCTCTTCTCTCTCAAAAGAATTTACAAGTGGTGGAACTTCAGGCAATGAAGTAAAATAAGCTGACATCTCCCCCCCCCAAAACATAGAAAATATTTCTGGTCCAAATATAGAAAATATTTCTCCCACTGTTCCCAAAGTTTTCAAATACACAGACAAATGGGAGAGAGAGAGGGAGGATCCAGAAGCAATGAAGGCCTTAAAAAACAGGGTAGAAAGCTCACAGTTGCCATCCTGGGGGCTCCAGGTCAGGAGACTGGTGTGTATGGGGGGTGGGGTTGGGGAAAGTAGGGCTGGCTATCACCTAGGAGGGACCCCAAGATGGGACCCCTGCATAAAGGACTTTTAAAGAACTATCCTCCCATCCAGAAGCACAAGGAAACTAGGAGTCCACTGGTTGGGGGCGGGGGAGGCTCCTACACAAGACTATGTATGCCTTGTAGAGTTAGGGGTCTGAGTGTCTACTTCATACATGGTGTGAGAATCTCAAGGTTGCCCTTAGGAGAAGCAAGTTATCAGAATAGTTCTCTCAGGACCTACTCACCATGTAAGGCACGTGGGCTCCTGCAAAAAAAAAAATAAATAAATATGCCTGACGCCTCGCACCTGTTCATATGTTCCCAAGAATAGTGCTCAGCTGGACCTGTCTCTCCCAGCCTCCTCCTCTGTCAAGGTGCTGAGAGGTATCTCACAGTGTGAGCATGAGGAAGTGTGGGATATTGGAAAAAGCAACGATGTTGGAAGTGACAAGACCAAAGTTTGAATCTTGGTTCTGCCATTTAATTGGTATAGCCTAAGTCAAGCTACCTAAATTTTCTGAGTCTCAGTTTCTGCAAAAATAGGATTGCTGACACCTACCAACCCTTAACTTGGTGGTTGGGAAGTAAGGGCAGTCATTTCAGTAAAAGTGCTTGCATTGGTGCTAGATGCTCTGTAGATACATTGGTTTCCTTTAAACATTGCTCTTTAAAAAATTCCCATCCTCCAAAGAGCCTTCCCAGTAAACCCCAGCTGGCTCTGATGTTTCTTTATCTAGTGGACCATCTGTGTTCTGTTACTTTGCACTAAATTGCTTGTTGTTGTAGGATTAATTTTTAAGCTTCTGTTCCTTGTTTTTCCCTTTAACTATGTGTTCCTTGTCTCTCCTTACTTATTTCCCACTGATCCTCAACTCTCCAGTAATAGACTGAGGAATCAAAGGATGGATGAGTAGATAGATGATGGGTGAATAGTTGGATGTATGAATGGATGAGTGGATATGTGATTGGATGGATGGATGGATGCACAGAAAGATGGATAGTGGCTGGATGATGGATGGATTGATGCATGGTTGGATGGATGATGGACGATGCATGGATGGATGATGGATGATGCATGGATGGATGGTAGATGCATGGATGGATAGATGGTGGATGAATGGATGCATTGATGGACAGTTGAATTGTTGAATGAGTGGATAGATGCTTGGATAAATAAATGGATGAGTGAATGGTTGGATGGTTGGGTATCGGTTAGAATTTGTTGGTCAGCAACAGAAGTTCGCCCTGGCCAAATTAAGCAGAAGGGATCATATTAGAAAAATATCAGGAAGCTCACAGAATCAATCATTCTGACAAGACTTTGTTTAATTAAACAATCACTGAATGAGGATTTCCTATACTAAATATGGTACCAGACTAGAACCTAGTTGGAGAGTTGGGACACACACAAGCACATATGCATGCATGTACACATGATCACACACAGAAATGCTGGAAAACCAGGCTGAGAATAGGTAGGAACTGAGGAACTCCATGAATATAAGGCAGAATAATCACCTCTCAGCAAACTCCTGGAATGAATGACCGGGGATTTTTCATCCCCAGGCCTAACTGCACCCAAGTCAAAATCCTGGGAGAGCTGATGTAAGTTGGGTCTCATGCCACTCAATGCATAAGCCCTCTAAGTGCACAGCAAGGCATGGGTAGTTTCCCAAAGGGAAATGAAGGCACTGTAGCCAAAAGAAGAGAGAATGACTGCTGGGTGCTCAGTGCCCCACTACCATCCCCCAACAGAACCATGGTTGAGTCCTTAGTCCCTCGAGGCAGCACAGGTGACTTTGTGCCCCTCATTCCCTCCAGCCACTACTCACCCCTCATGCTTCCCCCTCTAGATCTGCCTCTGCCTACCCCCCACTCCCTGGTCCCTCACGTCTGGGCATCCTCCACAATCATTTCCTACCTCCTTTAGAAACCTTTGCAGCTTCCCAAGCCCACGCTGATTGCTCCTTTCCATGAACTCCAATTACCTTGCCATCAGCAAGCACTGGAATCATCCCTAAACTTGTGTGCCACTTTACCTTCAGGGCCCGGGCTCTATTCTAAGTTTCCTAAAAACAGAAACCATGTCAAACTATGTACCTCATGGTGCTGGCACAGCCAGAGCCAGTGACCAATGACTGCCTGCTAATCAATTATCAGTTATTAGAAATAATTTCAGCCAAACACCCTTTGAGAGCTGGGGCCCCAAGAACTGACTTACTCAAATTACATAACTAGCTCTGGATCAAGGCTCTTATAATTTCCAGTACAAACCATCACTCCTTACTGTCTTGGGGTGTATGTATTTGTGTGTGTGTGTGTGTGCATGCGTGTGTACACACAAGCAAAATTGTATGTGTGCATGCCAGCTCCCTATGTAGCTTCTAGCCTGATACATTATTTGGTGTGCTAAATCCTCTGTCAGTGGTTGTTTAATTAATCAAAGACCTGCCAGAACTGCACCAACATGTTCTTTTTCTTGTTCCTGCTCCATCTTTGCCTAAGTTTCTGCCCACCATAAGATCCTTTGCCAGTGATCAACCCAGAAATGTTGATTGATTACCCCTAAAACGTCATTTCTTTTGAGAGTCAATGAATTTTTAAAATTGGATGATTTGTCGCATCCAGGACAGAATCAACTGAATCCTGTGTCGTGAAAATCACTCTGAGCACGTGCCTTTGTCAGCCACCCCACCTCACTCTGCTGTTCTGTGCCACTTGAAAAATTAGTTGGTGTACTGGAAATAAAGTCACAGGGAGCGAACATTTTGACAAGGTAATGGTCCCCTGCCTTTCTTGACATTTGCGAAGGAGTCGGAGTCCATTATAATGTCACAATGGTGCACACCATTGACATCTCATTGAATAATTAAAAGGCGGTTTAATCATAGCGATCATCCACTTAGTGTCTGGGTCTAGATGTCGGGGAAGCATGTGGAAGGAGGCAGCCATGGATATGCAGACAGGGAACAGATGTGGGTCAGAAGCCATCCACCGGGCAGCAACTTGTGCTACCCGTGTGTGCTGCAGCTTGGGGTGGGAAGGGGAGGCAACCCCTGACCCCTGAGTGCCCCCCACCAAAAAAAAAAAAAAAGGATTCTTACTTTCTTTCTTTTTGCTTCTTTGAATTAGGTGCAAGAGCAGGCTTTCTTTTCAAGTGAAAAACTG